CCCGCGAACCGCGAGATCATGATCTGGGCCGAAGTCGGATGCTTAACCGACTGAGCCACCCAGGCGCCCCTGACGCAGATTGTTTAAAGCCCGTAGAGGTTTTTGTGGTGATAAGACCACTGTCTTTCCTTCGCCACTCATCTCACCCGAGTGCCTCGTTCGCCACGCTCCTACAGTAAGAAGGACACAGCCATCCGCCGGCGAGAGCTCCTGGAGGCCATCTCTCCGGCTTTGTTAAGCTACCTGCAAGGACACGCCCGCGAAGTGGTGCTGGATAAGTCTGCGTGTGTGTTGGTGCCCGGCATTCTGGGAGCTGCCACGGGAGACGTCCAGCCCGCCATGAGCGCCATCGCCGGCTTGGCGGCCACAGAGTTGCACCCGGGCGGCCAGGACGGAGAGGTAACGTGCTGTCGCGAGATGTGCGGAAAGCTGCAGCGTCGCACAGACGCCGGCCACCGAGATCAGGGCTCGAAGAGAACTCCGATGCTGACTGCCTCCCCTCAGCCCGAACCCGCAGCACATCTGATCCTGCGGATTCGGAACACGGTGCCGCTGCAGGGCTGTCCTTCTCAGAGCTTCCCGTGACTTCCTCTTACCCACAGAGTCGAGACCGTCGTCTTAACGCGGCTCTCTGTGGCGCGTGGTTGGCACCAGGCTGCCTTCCTAGCTTTTGCTGTGTTCTCTCTGTTTTGAATTCACTGTGGATTCTTGCACCTCTCTGCATTCACATGCGCCTCTTTCCTCACCCTGGATGCCACCTGTGTCCCCATTTTGCCGTGCTGTCCCTATAGAAAGCCTCACTCATCCTAGAAGTTGCCCAGAGTCCCTCTCCTTGAAGTCTTCCCAAGTTCCCTCCCATTAAAAAAGTCCGCTCTTTCTGATAGCTCCCCTGCCTGCCTGCCTTGGCCCGGGACTCCTTCTGCCTTACCTCTTAAGTTCCTTGATCCACATGCCTCATCTGTGTTGGGCGGTGGTCTGCCCTGTTCCCCCATCCCCCAAAGCTTACTGTTTTGCTGAACACAACATAGAGACGAATACGTACCCAGATAATTACCCACTAGAGGATGGAGATACCTGCTGTAAAGGACACGTACGTGTTCTCTGGGGCCGTATAAGAATGGGAGCCAGCCTGTCCCCAGGAAGGCTTCCCCGAGGCAGTGAAGGTTACACTGAGGCTGGAGGATCGTAGCTCAGTGAAGAAAGGCAGAGGGAGGAACATGGGCCGCAGTTGGAAGGAGGGAAGGGTCTCGGCTCATTTGGGGACAGAGGGCTCAGGGGAGGTCAGCCGGCAGAGGGAAGAAGAGGCAGAGGTCAGACCGGGCAGGGCCTGTGTGTTGGGGAGTCTACTATTTCCTGCTGCGGGCCCTGGGTCTGCACCCTCCCCTCACAGGGCAGAGCGTAGAAACCAGCCAGGAGGATGTAGGCGTGATGAGTTTTCTCTGTAAGGGATGGAGCCTGTTGTCTCTGCTTGATAAGGAGAGATCCTAGGTGCTGTGGGAC